TCTGAACAGTAATAATCAGTGACTGTATATTTATTTTTATCAATCAAAGTGTGACAAATGTTTTTAAATTTTTTTGCGAATTGATCTACTAGGTCACAGATAACTTTGCTTTGACAAACTGTGTTTGCCATGCTTTTTTCTGCAGTAATACTTATATGATAGATCAATTCACAAAAAAATAACTAATGCGACACAAACTATTAATTTTTGCTTAGGTTACTCATAAATATGTTTGATTTAATTATGCTTTTTTAATATTTTTTTTGACAATGATAATACTCTCATAATATAATATTTCTGGATCTGATTGCTAATAATTATTCCGTACGTAAACTAAATTGGTGGGTCATATTATCAGTGTATCTCTTGCTCCCTTGAACCGCATTTTCGGGTGTCACTAGTGATACGACAGCCATATTTCTAGTTCAAATCATAATAACAATGTGTATTGAGATGCATTTCTGAGTCAGTTTGGATTACTGCTGAATTTTCTTCGCTATGAAAATATAACAACTTCACTTACACATTTTAATAAAGTTTAATATTTAAAAAGGAAAAGTTGCATGAAGTAAAAAATAATTACTTTGCACACCAAATAAATGGAATGTAATATTCATAGAATATTTTCTGTTCTTTTTTTAAATTCTATTACTCTTAACTAATTCTTAAAAGCCATCTTTTATCAGATTAATTTTTGATTTATTCTTCCTCGCCTTCTACTGCATTCCCCAAAATCACGCCTGTTGCTGATAGCAGAAAGAATATCAATGCAAGTGAACATGCAAATAATGCACCTACTGCGATACCAGCGATTATTGGTCTTTCTGAAAAAGTTTAGATTATATTTTCAAACTAAAACATTACAAATAACTAAACGAACAAAAAAATTTGTGAAAAAAATTAGAAAACTCGAAAGATATATGATAGTTGCAATAAATTTCCAATATTATGAGGTATTTTTCACTTACTACTCCCAAATTGTAATGGTAAATACAAAAATATTACCCAGATTCCAAGGTAATTTTTCACCAGGTGGACCACGTGGACCTACTGGGCCTTCTTCTCCAGGAGGTCCCTTATCTCCCTGTGGGCCTGCAGGGCCCATAGGACCAGGTGGGCCCCGAGGCCCTTTTTTGCCTTGTGGTCCTACTATCGGATTCTCACGTTTATATTTTGAGGTTAGCTCAATTCCTTGATTTTCACGTGAAACACTTACATCATTTGCTTTGGTTTTCCTTTCATTTAGACCACAGTGCTTTAATTGGGAATATTTTATCAACAAAAGAATAAATTAGAAGTCAATTAATACTCAATACTGTAAGTATTCTGAGCATTTTTTGGATCAGTTCTTATTTAAATATAAATTATCAGTTTATTAATTTTAAATATAAATACAGTTATAAACAATTACAGTAATCTTTATTTTCAAACATTATCAGTTTTTTACTATATCAAATACAGAAATTGGATATATTCTTTCAAAGAAATATGTTTTTTTTTTGGAGTTTCTGATCATAATTTTTGATTATAATCAGTATTGCAAAAATTAGGTAATATTTGTGGAAACTTACTAATTCGTATATATTTGTGATCAAAATAAGTGAAGTGATTGAAAGTCGCATTAATTTATTGAATGCTACAAAAATCCAAATGAAACGAATTTTATTTTTTTTGCTACATTTTCGTGATATTCAAATAATCTTAGTTATAAAATATATCAATATCAAAATAATAACAGCAGAGCTGTTTTCTAGACAAAGCATGCGAACCTTTTCAGGTAAGCACTTGTAAAGGATACACCACCAGAATACACTCTACAATTTTGTATAAATTAAAAATTAGTAAATTATGTTTCTATTTAATATTTAGACTGAACAGCACAAATTTTGCATACTAGAATAATTTTGTCGCAGATTATTAATCAAGTGTGTTTTTTTATGGTTTTAATGATTTTTATTAATATAGAATTGAGTTACAAGCAGGAACATGAAAGCTTTATTTATTATACAACGAGCTTGTTCTGCAAGCACAATAATTACTGTAAATGCATGATATGATTGAAGAAGTGAAACTAAAATAAATAATTACGAATGTTATCGAGTTATTTTAATTATTTACTGTAAATTATTCCAACGCAATGGTTAATCAATGGTAAGTACTGAAGACCAATATTCAGAACTAAATCATCAAATATGACATATTTGTTTCAATTTGTCTTTGGAATTCCATTTTAAAAGTTTTTTCACACGTGATTATTTATGTCAGAAAATTTGTCATAAATTTACTGAATTTTATTTTATAAACCTCCGTTGAAAAGTTTTTTCTCCTTAGCAAGTTTAGTCAGTACTAGGCGTACCAATTCCCCCAAATACATTCCCGATATCATCTTTTCAAACCTCGAAATTTTCTTTGAGTAATAAATTTTTGCTTCCATTTTTTAAAATGAATTACCTGATTTAAGCAAGTAATTAGCATAATCAGTATTTAAATAAGTTAAATGCTGTACTTGAGCAATGTATGCTTGAAAAAGATTTTAAAAAATTACAAATGTTTCCCGGGATTGATAGATCGTTTATCTACTTCTCGATCAAACTCAGTCATCAAAAAGTCAATACAACCGTTGTCTCCAAATGCGCCCCACTCCATATTTAATATCATCTAAACAAAAAATATTAATTTAAAAATTGAAGCTTTCTATAACTGTATCTCAAAAAAAGTACAAAAGTTAATAGTTATTGAATAGTTTATTTATAGTTTTTGAAAATGGTTAAATCAATTTGATTTTCATGCGTTTTCGAAATTAAATTCACTTCTTTTGGATATTT